TTTATGATTATCATAAGGAGAGTGAGTCATTGTTTAAGAGTAGGTGGAGTTTATCCTTACCTACAGCAAAGGAAGAGTGTTCCTTCCAAGACATAAAGACAGGATCCTTCGCTTTCTCTCTCCTTTGTTCTTCTCTTTAGCTAGCTGTATCTTACAAGAAATGTCCAAATTTCCCAATACTTTTAAAATCAATTAATGAATAAGTCAATTAAAGTTTTATTAAAGTTAAGTAATTGGTCATGTGACAGTCACGTGATACTGTCACCACATGGTAGTGCTTCCTTCCAAGTTCCTTGAAAGTTAGAGAGACATTTTAAGAGAAAACATCGAGAAAGAGAAAAGTATTGCAGTCCAATGGTTTTTAGCTAATTATATTACACCTCTCCCTTCATTCTTCTCTTCTAGATATGCCTACAAAGAAAAATGGCAGCGCAACGACCATAACCAGTGACGAGGGAAAGGAGAACAAGGCACCAGCTGTCGACGAGAAGGACCCGATGTCACTGGCAATATCCGTCATTGAGAAGAAGACGAGAAATCTTGAGAAGAGAAAGGTATAAAATGGTGGAATGGATCAGTACCATTATTTAATTTTTAGAGTCGTTTAACCGGACTAAAGGAAAGTGGAAAATCACTAGACAAGGATCAGGTAATTCCGCCATTTTATTTGATTTCTTATATGTTCACTGACACGTGTTTACAAAATCAAAATCTGCTGACTTCATATTTACAAGATACATGTACATGTATTTTATTTCTTTCCTTTAATGCGTCTCTCCTACCAGCTGGACGCCGTGAGTAAATTACCCGAGGTCATCATTCAAATTGAGACACTACGGGATCTACTGAGTACCTTTCAAGAAGCTCATGCCAGCCAGCAAAAAGAAGTGAAGAAGCTTCAGAAACAGGAGGAGAAACATCGAAAGGACACGGAGAGAGAGCAGCTGCGGTCTCTCCTAAAGTACACCCTGAGGACCCAGGGGATCCTCAACCTAATAGACGATAGTTCCAAAGAGGTCCTTAGGTCTGGGGAAGGAGAGGGAGTTGTGAAACTGAGCGAGAAAGAACTGACACAGCTGGATGAGTTTTATGACTTGGTCAATCCAACTAGACCGGGAAATGACAGGTAATGTACATGTATCTAATATGGTGGACTTATCCTCTCTCTCTCTTTCTCCAGATATGATCGATCGTTGCATGTTGCATCCGACCATATGCTGTCTCTTTTTGAGAAAAGTCAAAAAGAAGTTGTACACACAACTTGTATCCAAACCAGTCATTTAACACTAATTATAACTAATAGACCTTCTTTGTAGTGGTAATCATGTTGTGTATGGGATAGTTGTATTCTTTAACTTGTTGTCTTGTTGTTCAGATGATGCCATGCACTCACTGCTTCACAAGTTGGACGTTTGTGGATACTTTGATAAAGTAGTGGAAGAGAAAGAGGAGGAGGAGGAGGAAGAAGAAGTTAGAGGAGGAGTTGGTGGGTGTGGTTATTATCTTGTTATTTTAGGAAGTTGACGTGGCCCCTCCCACAGCTGCTGTCGAAGAAATAAGAGAAGAACCAGTTACAGCTGATACTGTTAGTAATAATAATAATAATAATAGTAAATTGTTTTCCTGTAGTCTGGTAGGGTACAGTCTCCTGAAAGATTACCCCAGCAGCAGCAGCAGTATACTGGAGGTGTGACTAAAGAAACTGATCCTTCGGAAGAACCCTTTGTTCCTCTCGTTCCCATGACAACAGAAGGGTACCACCCCTCAGCCCCTTCCCCCGATTTCTCTGGTCTCCAGTCGACTGCTCTATCACCTCTTGATGAACTGACCTTCATGAGGGAGTCTCCAAGTTAGTTGTCATGGTAACTGACCCCTGACTACCGTATTTCTATTTAGAGCCTGCCTCACAGCAGCAAAATGATGGGCAGTTAGGGGGAGGAGCTTATTCTTTTGATGTTAACGAGACGTCTCATCAATCATTTTCGTCTTTCCCAGCTACAGGAGGCCACACCCATCAGCAAGACTCTGCCCGAGTGATGGGACTCCTTGATGAGCAGTATGTTCCTGAGACTGGTCAGCAAGTCACTGGAGAGAAAGACAAAGACATTAGAGAAGGAGAAGCAATCCAGTCCTCATCAGTTGGAGGACCCCCTCACTACAATAAGGTAACTATATATATGGCGGAGGAAATTGGTGAATTAAGGATTAAGTTTTGTTAAAATTCACCATTTTGCTTAATTCTTCTCATGCGTCCATGGCTATAAATTCCTTAACACTGAAACTACATTGCAGTCATAGAATTGCCAATATCAATCTTTGCCAAATGTAATTTCCCATCATACGATGTGATACTGGCATAATCTCAAGTTTCATCTAAATAAAGTGATTATAATAATCCTTTACTGTTCTCCATAGGCTGGAGGCACTGGGTACAGGAGCAACCCTGGTGCTGGTACTGGCGGTGGAAGGCAATGGCGCGGCAACGGCAGTTACCGTGGCAACCGTGAGATGTACAACGGCAGTGGTGGAGGAGGTTACAATAGCAGAGGGTACCCAAGAGGAGGCGGGGCAGCATCTGGCGGAAACTTCAGGGGAGGAAGCAACAGAGGTAATTAATTAATACAATAAATTTTTGACTTATTAAAAAATTTATTATTATTAGGTGGTCGTCCAAATTACGCATATAACAATAATCGTTCCGGTAATAGAGGAGGCGGGGCAGGAGGGAGTGGCTATAGGTCCAACCCTCGTGCCACTGCTGCTCAGTAGTCATTAGTGGGCGTGGTCCAGTTAATTAATAGTTATCACAAGAACAAAAAGCGTTAATCAATGTCTGTAATTATTATTGTTATTATTATTATTATATGATTATTTGTGATTTCTTATTTGTTTCGAATCATTTTTCAATGGAATTATTATTTTGGGTGGAGTCGTGTCTTTGTGATCTTGGTGGTCGTTGAATTCTTCTAACTTGAACAGGTGGAGTCAGCCCCCTCCTTTTAACTTCATTTTTCATTTCTGTCTTCAAATAGTCTCCCAGTTTTGATTTCAGCTTTTGTGACGGTGTGTGGTAAATGTAATTGTCAAAACCTCCAGCTTTGTCAATGCATCTCATTGCCTGTGTTGTCACTCTTAGGTCAAACTTCACTCCTAAAATGGAGCTATAGTAAGTGTGCCTTTGGACATTTGGATACCAAACCTTTTTCGTCCTACGATAAAAGAACCAATTATCATGAAGAATCATGGCAGGTATTAGATGGAATCAGCTCAAACTTTCTACACAGCATAAGTACATCAATATGTATCAGAAAATGTAATAAAAATTGGGGGTGATTTTGGAGCCATTTTTTGAAAAAAACCATGGACTATAGCCTTGGGTATTTTTCAGATTTTTGACGTTTTCTTAAAATGGCCGTAACTTGAAAAATTGAAGTCAGAATCAGCTCAAACTTTCTACATAGCATAAGGACATCAATATGTATCAGAAAATGCAATAAAAATTCATAAAAACTTTGCTACTTTTTATTTGAGAAGGTGACCTTGATACCTCTCATTATATCCACTCCAGCATACAAACCAAAATCCGCTCCCTTGGGACGTTGGCACAGCAATCTAGTCAGAAACACCATTGCTCCGTATATCTCTGTATATTCATATTTTATTTATTATTTAACCACCACGCCCATAATAAAATGGAGATCATTTTAAATTGCATGACTGATGTGTAAAGGATACGTGATACTGTCACACATACACACACAGAGAGAAAGAGATAGAGGCAGTTGATGATATGAACTGAGAGTCAAAGAAAGAGAAATAAGAAAATGCCATCATGGGTAGCAGAAATAAAGAATATACAGGTGCCTTTATCTCTCATGATTAAGTGAATAACAAAGAAAAAAGAGAGAGAGGGAGAGAAACAGAACACAAGTTAAAGTCATTATCCAAGGTTTATTGACAGTTCAGTGACAGGAGAGGGAGGAGGCGGGCAATCGTAATACGACTGTACAATGGGTACCTCCCCTCTGTTCCCCTCCCTCTCTTCCTCCTCCTCCCCATCCTCTCCCTCAAGAGTTGGAGAGTTAGCAGGCGATGACATATACTCTGGCGGCAATGGCTCAATAAACGTTGTCATTGAAATAGTCGTACAGGTGTGCTCGGAGATATTATCGTGCTGTAGCATTGCCAGAGGAATGTTAGAAATTTGATCAGGACTTGGGGATAAGTGGGGGATTACCCGATGTGGGGATGGGCGGGGCGAGGGGTGTGGCACTGAATGAAACTGAGATGCACAGTCGTTTTCGTCTAATGTGAGAACGTCTTCGTCAATGACATGTAAGTCTAGGACATGAGGTTGATAATATGACTGATAGGGAGGGGGAGGGTGGGAGGAGTGGTGGGTGTGGTCTCGATTAACGACAAAATGAGATGGAGGGGGAGCAAGGGGTAGCACCCCGTTGCCTTGGTGATTCACGTATGGCAAACGGTGCTGGGAAACCGACGAGATATTATCACTCATAGCGTCAAAATTCATGGAAGGATTCGGAACCACTGGGTAGGGGGCCTCAAGTTCACTAAAGGGTCTGGACATCACTGACATTTCATCGCCCCCCATGAAAGCTACAGAGCGGTGAGTAGTTATCGGCGAGTTAGGAGGGTTACTAGGGTCGGTGGAAATCGTAGATAATCGTTTTATTATTCGAGCATCTTCCGAAGTCTTTTCAACATGGGTAGAGCGAGTTTCCATAGTATTAATAGACATATCGGAAGTATTGATTGATTGTAGGTGTGGCTGGGGGGAGGAGCCTGATTTTATGGAGGAGGTAGGGAAATCGTAACGAGAGGTATAAGTAATGTTACGCTTTTTAGAGAGGACACACTGTATTAGCAGACAGACTGAGCAGGCAAAGGTTAGTACAATTACTATGAAGATGAGACAGGTGGCAATGATGATACCTAGTCTAGCGGAATCAGGTGAAGAGAGGGTGGGGCTTGAGCTGGTGGAAGTGGGCGGGGCAGATGAAGTAGGAGAAGGCTGAGGGATCGAGGATGAAGCTAAGAGAAATAAAAAGAAAATTGTAAAATAAAATACAAAAATTGTCACACTATTTATCAAAATACCATGCCAAAGCATATCAATGTATATTTCAAACTTACCTTGATTGCAATTATTCTCGTCTTGACTGTCAATGCAGTCAAGCTGTCCATCACAGATCCAATTGCTACTGATACACTGACTGATCCCGTTCCTCAGAGTACAGACTATCCCCGACTGACAATCAGTGCAGTTCAGCTCATCGGATCCATCAACACAGTCTGGTAGAGCATTACAGAGTTTATCTCTTTTAATGCAAGTACTGGAACCAGTGAGACACCTGAATCTATCAACTGGGCCTAAGGAAGAGACGAAAAATATTAAAATATATTTTAAAAATATTTTGTTACATTGGCAGTCTTTTTCGTCAGATTGGTCAAGACAGTCGTTGCTACCGTCACAAATTTTTGAATAAAATATACAAGAACTACCATCATCACAAGAGACAGTGCCAGCTGGACATGTAAGATCTAGAGTAGGAGATTATAACAATATCGTAGAGCTGGTAAATTTTAAATTTGAAGCTGCCAATCACACAAAATTTAGCAAAAAATTCATCATAAATTTTATCAATAAAGAGAGCAAATTTACTGAATGCTACTAATAATATACTGACCTGTACACGTTGCATTATCAGATCCAAGAGATTGGTAGCCAGGGCAACCACAGGAATAACTGAACTGAGTGAAATTATCAGAAACAACACAGATATGAGAACAAAGTGATTGAGCACACGGTGATGGAACTAAAATGCAAAGAAAAAAACAAATAAATAAATACTGTAATATCTCCTTCATACTATTGTAAAATGAGTGGGCGTCATAAGAATCCAAAGAGTTAATAATTGTCCCTTCTTCCAGTATAGCATACACTCTAAGAGAAGCTGTGGACTCGTCAAACGAGTATATGGACCAGTCAGACTGGTTGTACCAGTATAAATATGAGACAGAATTGAACGTAACAGCAGTGAGAGCTACAGAAATAAAATAAATAAATGAATAAATAAAAATATTAATGGCTGACCTGTTATATTAGATACATTGGTGACCAGTTCTGTTACATTATTGCTGGAAGGATCATATCTCTCAATAACTTCCCTCAACTCGTCAAACCAGTACACATAACCTGTCAGTTCACTGTACGCCATTTCAAATACATTCAGTTTCAAGTTAGGATTCGTTTCTATGGCAACAGGATCAAGAGAGGGAGTGTCCAGAGGAATGTATTGAACTGACCAGCTGTGAGCATCGCTGAAATATAGCCGCCTAATAATAATAATAATAATAATTAATTAATAACAATAGCCACACCTTTTCCCCACATCCATGGCGATGGCTGTTGGGCGTGTCTGTCTGTCTGAAAGTGGGCGGAGCAATGACCCCACTGTCCCACGATGCTGTCCGCTTGTTCTAACGAAATAAATCTGATTGGTCAGAGGGTCGACCCAAAATAGATGACCTCCGTACCAATCCATAACCATAGAGTATGAAGAATGAGGCCACACCTCCTGCCCCGCCCCTCCCTCCAATACAGCCTGGCCTGATCCGTTAAGATATGAAGTATGAATCCGATTGTTAGTGTCCATCCATAAAACTGTTCCAGTTGAAGGATCGTAGGACATAGCTCTTAAACTGGATTCGTTCAAATGAAGAAAGAGTTTCTGTGGACTTAGGGTGGGCGTGACACAGTCTGGATCTGGAGGTGTGGTGCTTGAGGGGGCGGAGTCACGAATAGGAAGAAAAAATATGTTTGAGGGAGAGGAGAGAAGAGCAAAAGAGTTGACAGCTGGAAGAGAGAAAAAAATTAAAAATAAATAAATAAATAATTAGTTAACATACAGTTGCATTGGCTCCTGCATATCTCTCTATTGTAGTCGTAGACCAAAGTCTTGTATTTAGTGGGTGAGCAGCGACACTCGTAATGATAGCTATCCTTAACTAGACACAATGTATCTCCATCATTGCCACACTCAGCATTGAATCTTGAACACCAATGGACACCTAATAATAATAATAATAATAATAATAATAATAATGATGATGATAATGATGATGATGATGATAATAAAAGTCCATTTTACCAGGTTGTGTTGTGTAGTGGTTGAATTTCATTGCAGTCACGTTAGTTCCATGGATTGATACCATATCAAAAAGAGCCGTCCAATCAGATAAACGTACCCTATTCTGATCATCCCCTGTATGTTCATTATAATAATAGACCTCATCGTTGGATGGGAGGAGGAAATAAAGGCGCTGGAATTCATCGATATAATTCAAAAGAGTTGGCTCATGGAAGCCGTTAGCATCTTCGTTATGATGATGGCTACACCAGATCTTCCCTACAAGATGTGACGTTAGTATCCGATACTCATATATGCAGCTGCTCCAGGACCAGAATATAAACTGATCAGAAACGTCTAACGTGATATCGTGAATTGGAACATTAGTGGGGACAAAACTCATGTTCTGGGGGGTCTTGGTCCAAATTGTAGACACAGGACCCCCTGTAAGGGGGACAGATTGAAGTCCAGTGTCACTTGAAAAATACAGCACACTAAAAAGAATTAATAAAACATTAAAGGTTAATAATACTTATTAAATACCTTTGGTACGGGTTGACTATAATCCGTTGTGGTTTTTCTAATCCACTGACAAGAATCTGTTGATTATTTCCGTTCAGTTTGGCCACGCCCACCACTCCCAGTGCCTCGTTAGTCCAGTAAAGGTTACGCCCCCACCAATCAATGGCGAGATCCGATATGATGCCACGGGAACAAGTAATGATTAGCTGAGACTCATAAGTCGACATATTTGTAGCGTCTAAAGGAATTACCCCTCTGTATATATTCTAATTAAAAGAATAAATATTAGTGATGTGTGTAATATTTAAAAATTCTATTAACTTGAAAACTTTTAGTTTGAATCAGCTCAAACTTTCTACGCAACATAAGTGCATGTATATGCATCAGATGAAATTATTAAAATGGAGAATTCTCTCCTTTTCAATTTTGGTGAAATTTGGCCAAGGACTTTTACCCAATTTTGGAGCAACTTCAAAAATTCGTAAAAATTCCAAATTTGATCGAAATCAATTCAAACTTTGAACACAACATAAGAACATGTATATGTATCAGGAAATATTATAAAAATGGAGAATTCTCTCATAGCAATTTTCCACAAAATACCTTGTATAGGGTATTTTACAGAAGCCAACATATTTTAACTTATAATACTGATATGAGATCAGCCTTACCCCATCTTCACTGCTGATCCAATACATCATGTTGTGGGTGGAGTCAATGTCGAGAGATTGAACTGGTAATGGCTTTATGACGCTAGCAGCAGCTGGGCTATGGACTGAGAGTGTGATCCTGTTATTAGTAGTTATAATTACATTACTGCTAGTATCTAGAGAGAGAGAGAGAGGGAGGGGGAGGGGGAGAGAGAGTATACAACAAGTAATAACACAAGTATCAAATTAATAAAGAACTTACTGTCGACACACTTTGTCTCACTCCCTGTCTCTAGTTTATAGTAATCGCTACAGAGACACTTCCTTGTTCCGTTGGTTCCAGTTAAAACACATATCTCAGAGCAGCCACCATTACCCAATGCACAACCATGATCAGCTGTATAAAGAACATGAACATTATTATTATTATTATTATTATTATTATTATTATCATTATTATTATTATTATTATTATTATTATCATCATTATTATTATTTATTATTATTATTATTATTATTATTATTTATTATTATTATTATTATTATTATTATTATTATTATTATTATTTATAACTCACTCAGTGGTTGTGTGTCGTTAATACCAGTTACCCCAGTCACTCCGAGTAGAGTGCTTGATATTACAGTACCTGACGAAGAACTCAAAAACTGTCCAACAGGTATGCTCTTAAGTCGGCCATTTTGTCTATCAGTCCAGTACAGCACATCTCCGAAAAAGAACAACCCAGCCACTGTCTCATCCGTCAGAGACTTTGAGGCCATGTTGGCTCCGTTTTTATCAGCTTTACGTATGCTACGATGGTCAATGTGACCCTCGGCCCAGTATATGTCACCGGTCGACTGGTGAACGGCTATTGGTCCAGGAAAGAAGATGGAGTGATGATCGTTATTAATTAACTTCTGTTGGTTGCTGCCGTCGAGATTTGACCTCCATATTGATGGATCAAGACCAGTATCAGTCCAATAAAGGTAACTAAAGGAATGAGAAGAATAATAACAATATACCTGTAGGTACATGTACATGTAAAGAATAATATATACACAGTGTATGATGGACATACCCTAGTTCTTCATTAAGAGCAATACCCTGTGGGTGGTCCACCCCAGTATCAACAATAACCCTCCTGTGGGTGGAGTCTAACTGATTGATGGACACCACTTCTATCTTATCAAGGCCCACATCAGCCCAATAAAGTACGGATCCGTCTTCGCTGATAGCCACACCCACTGGATACGCTATGCTCTCGTTTATGACCACACTTCTTCCAGAGCCATCAATCTTTGACCTCATTATGGCCGGGGGGTTTCTCTGGGACCAATAAAGGTACTCAAACTTTCTGTCGTAAGTCACGAATTCGATAGTCTCTCCATTCCCATGGAAAGGAAGTGGGAGGGGCAACTCCTCCCCCTCAACGTCAAACGAGAGAATATTAATAAAAGAGCTTTGACCGATGAGCAGGAATAACTGAGGAACTAAAGGGTTAAAAATAAAACAATCAAGGAGCTAAAGGGTTAATAATAACATCAAAAAATAAAATTTTCCCTAAGGCTACGAGACAAGATTATGCCCACCAATAGCAGCTGCTCAACAAACCACAACCAAGAAATGAACATGTGTATAAACTTAATCTAATTGATACCATCTCCGCCCACCTGCTTAATTAAAATGTAATTAATTAAAAGTGACTAAAGGTACAGAGACCGGGAGTCTCACACGCCATTTACATAATGTATTTATTTATTTATTGTCAAGTGTAATTAGTAAGAGCAGCTGTACTTATGAAAACTTAACGGACTTAATCTAATAAATATAAATCAAATACAAAACAAAAACTTAGCAAAATTAATATACCATACATGCAATAACAACAACAACAACAACAACAATAATAATAATAATAACCTGTGTTGCAGCTTTGGTTGTCCGCATTTAGTTTGAATCCAGTGGGACAGCTGCAGGTAGACTGTGTGCTGATATCACTGGGAGAGGATGGGTCAGGGAGAGTGAAACAAAACTTAGAGCAGCCGCCATTGATAGAGGAACAACCACCTGAAACTAAGAGAGAAGAAAAAAGAAAATAACACAGCTGCTTCATGTAGCTATCCTCCATAAATGGACATTACAAAATGTTCTTACAATAAAAGGTATTTTACAATAAAAGGTACATGTACATAGGTTCCAGTGTAATGACTACTCCCTGACCAGAAGACTTACAAGTGACACAGGAGCAAGAACAATATACACAGCTACATGTACATGTACATGTAGCTGTATCAATAAGACATGTAGCTGTATCTACATCCAGTCATTAATAAAACCCACAGTCTAGACAATATCTCCCAAAAGAACAAAAGAAAATATAATAATTGTGCCTGCCTAATATACATATACATGTACATGTACACCATCCTTAATAATAATAATAATTATTATTATTATTATTATTATAAGATAACACACTACACAATGTACATGCAGTACATGTATTTGTAATGTACACATTCAAGCTAATTTGTACATGTACATGTACAATAGCTCATATTGAATCAGTAATGAAGAACATATGAAGCATTAACTGTATACATGCCCGTACATACCAATCTACAATCATAATAGGAACAAATACTCCAAATGTAGCCCACCACACAAGCTACATGTACAAGTACATGTATAATACAAAAGGAAACACAAGTACATGTACATGTATACACTCACTCGACATTAGGAAACTCTTTGGTAAGAAAGCACTGATGTCACCAGGATCAAACGAGCTGCCTTCGATGACGGTGTTTAGCAAACCAAACGAATATGAATATAAACTCCCATTTTGACCATTTCGTCGTCTGGAGAGGTAGAGAGTGTCATTAGTGGCACTTAGGCTTGTAGTATCAGATAAGGAGGGTAACACCATCTCCTGGTCTCCGCCCGATAGATTGGATTTATAGATAACACCAAGAGCGTTCCAATAAAGTGTAGAGTTAATGGCATCAACTGATATATCACGAATGTCGTTTAAGTTTTCTATTATTTTCGTGGGATTGGATCCATCTAGGTTAGCCCTCCAAATACAGCAATAGGTATCAGCAAAGAACATGAAACTGGAGGAAAGAAAAGAAAAGAATGTAAATGTGATATTTATGAAATAAAAGGGCAGTAAGTCTCAAGCGGTATAGCAGCTGGATTTAAAAGTGTCATGCAGTCTAAACATTAACAGGTACTGTACCATCATGCAATTGTTTAAAAATACATTAATGTTAGGGACAGGTGAAGTGTCTCTGGCGGGCAGGTAGGGTATGCTATGAACATTAAACAGGTGGTGCTCTATCAAATCACATTAAAAGAAGATGAGACATGTAGTTATTGTAAGAAATGTCTATTGATCGCATTAAACAAGATCAAAAGAGAAGACACTGGGAAATATATCAGTAATACATTAAGAATTACTAGAATTTAATAGTAGGAATTGCAATAATAAAGCAATTACTGCAATAGTAAGAATTCAAGACCTGAGGTGTGTAACACAGCTACAGTGTAGTGTACAAGTGTGGGAGAAATCACATGTACAAACACAAGAGATGAATACATAGAACAATGATGAAGATAAAGTCGTGATAGCTTCCGCACCTCCCCCCTCTCTCTCTCTCACTCACTCCTTCTCTCTCTCACTCCCTCTCTCCCTCCCTCTCTCTCTCTCTCCCTCCCTCTCTCTCTCCCTCCCTCTCTCTCTCCCTCCCTCTCCCTCCTTCTACTAGTAAACAACTCATGTCAATATGCCAAGAATCATGTTACTACCATCACCAACACAAAAACATAATGACACAACATGAACACGTGTTTGCTACAATCACTGTACACATCTCCTCTCTCTCCCCCTCTCTCTCTCCTCTCCCCCTCTCTCTATCCTCACCCGTGTAAAGGATCCACAGCAACAGGGCCAGGATCCCGTGGTGTTAAATTAGTAAATATTCTCTGGTAGGAGCCACTACAAGAAGCCACGCCAACATAGCCTTGAGTCTCTCCTGTCCTGGTACCAGTGTAGTAGATGAGGTTGGATCTCCAGTCAATGGCTACACCTTGAGGTCTGCCGAGACTCACGCTTAGGATCTGAAGGAATGAGAATGGAAATATGAACATAAGAATAATGATGCAGTGGTTTGTTATTAATCAAGTATAATTAATGTAATTATGTTAATTAATAGTAAAATAGTAACCAATACAGAACAATATACACACACACGTGTATCACACAGTACATGTGTATTGTGTATAGTGTATTGTGTATAGTGTATAGTGTATAGTGTAGAGATAAGAAATTAATTGAATAAAAAGGAAGCCATACACAGGCACACAGTGATGAGTATACACTAAACCTACCAATGAACCATTCAATATGATATCACAATTTCATTCCCATGCTTTATGATTTCATTCTCATACCACATATTATCATTTCCATACTCACTGTTTCGATGGTCGAACTGTTAGCAAAGCTCCTCATTATGGTGTGGTCCGTGCTCCAGTAGATCCTGTCGTCACAGCTGTTGCAGTCCAGGGAGAGAGGTTTGGTACCAACTTGTATAACTGGTACAGCAACATTATCAACTAGTCGGTCAATTGAGCTTTGATTGGCAAAATAGATAATAGAAGATGCTGGAGAGAGAGAGAGAGAGGGAGAGGGAGAGAGAGAGGGGAACAAAGACAGGAAGTGTTAAAACCAATATGAATTGCATACATTATACATGTACATGTACATGAAATACTTTTTGTGATGATGTGATAATCATTAACACATTCCACTTCACAAAGGAACTGAAATAATAGCAAGTTTGCAACAAGGGGATATGAACAGGTACAGCTGCTACTAATGTGGCCACTCCTTCTGGTCAAACCTGTTTTTAGAATGCGGTACAGTGGCCAACAGGCAGTGGCTATATCACAACGCTCTAATGGTCTCTTTACAACATTGTTATAAGAACAACCTCCTTACCTCCCTCCCTCTCCCCATCTAATGTACATGTACAATATACATGTGTTTTATAATAAAATTATATTTTTAATGAAACAACAGCTGAGATATAATTAATAATATTAATGGAATGTGTACATAATGTCACATGATACACACATGTACATGTACATCCACACCTAATATGAACATACCAATGAACATGTACAGTGTAGCCTCTTTATTAAGGACACCATTGGACCCATACTACCTGTCCTTGATACATGTACAGTGTAGCCTCTTTATTAAGGACACCATTGGGCCCACACTACCTGTCCTTAATACATGTACAGTGTAGCCTCTTTATTAAGGACACCATTGGGCCCACACTACTTGTCCTTAATACATGTACAGTGTAGCCTCTTTATTAAGGACACCATTGGGCCCCACACTACCTGTCCTTAATACATGTTCAGTGTAATCTCTTTATTAAGGACACCATTGGCCCATGGGAGTGTCCTCATTTCAGAGGTAAATGTACTTTGTATAGGCTTAAATGTCCTCATTATGAAGGTAATTGACTGAAGTCAAAGCTATGATAAGAGGCTATAAAAATTATACATCTTTATAAATACACATTGAATGTAGCTTTAAATACAAATTATCAAAATCCTAAAGTATTAATAACAACAACAATAATAACAACTTTAAAAATAAATAAAAAACAAATCACTTTAATTAGTGTTTGCAGGAGTGTGTGTGTGTGTGTAGTAGAGTGATGTCATACATTAAATGCTGCCAAACAAAAGCACCAACAGCTATATAATAATAATAGGAGAAGACTCTAGACAATGTACATGTACATACATGTACACTTTAGAAAAAACAATGAGAGAGAGAGAGGAGAGAGAGAGAGAGAGAGAGATGCTCCTCCCATAAAAGGATATCACATCAGCTCCTTTACAATGAGAGGAGATGAGTTATGCCAATCATCCAAGTAATGATTTGTACGTGTACACATAAAATAAATATGAGACACACTGTGTGTAGATTAGCTATAGCACTAGCAGTAATAGCATGTATCAACAGTGTGAAAAGGTGATTGCGACTATTAGGAGAGAGCGAGAGAGAGGGAGAGAGCGAGAGAGAGAGAGGGAGGGAGAGAGAGAGAGGGGGGGGTAGTTGGCCATGTTGTGATATGGAAAGGAACAAGGCTTCAAACACGCTATCTACTCTAACGAACAAGAAATATTGATCTTAATACAAGAAACAAACAATGATGTGTGATAAATCCAATAGAACTAACAACAGGATTATAATATGTTACCTAACAATAGTTTCAGGACATTGTACAGTGTAAATATATTGTACAGTATATATAACAGGAATATAATTAGCTGATAAATTGCCTACAGCTATTGGCAGACACTTGACTTGTAAATAATCATCATTTTTACTAAAATAACTAGCTTAAAATGACCTTGATTCCTTACCATCTAAACTGTTGAGAGATAACAAAACTACAAGGAGACTGGCTAAGATGGAGAGTGGTGGTCTTAGCCTAGAATGCTTTCTGACTGCCTCCGACATGGCATCTCCAGTAAGCATGAAGAAGGAGGGAGAGAAATGGCGAGGAGAGAGGGGGAAAGGTGTAAAATGGCTTGTAGTACCTCAAATAATAGTAGCCTATGTCTTCCGGGCGGCCAACTGTACAAACAAAGGTAGAGATAGATAAATGGGTAACAGTGACAAAAAAGAAACAAAACAAGATGAGAAAGAAAGAAAAGGGAAGATGAGAGAAGGAGAGAGAACTCTGGTTACCTTTTTGTCTTTCTTTTTTATTTCTTTCTCACAAAACTCGTGGAGACTGGGCACAAAAATAATACACCGTATATTGGATTAATATCTTAATTAACAAAGCCACGCCCATCATTAAAGTAATATTGAATATCGAATAGCACCATTACTATGCATACAGTATTATAATTGCAAAATATAATGTTAGTATTGACGCCCAGCCCTGCTACTAATTAGACACACTTCTTTAGTTTTAATCTGTTTAATATGAGCTCTGCAGAGCGCGTACTTGAAAGGCTCCTTTCAGCTGCTGATAATGAAAGAAATACCAGTAGTATTTTATCAGAATTTATTAAAGAGGTGAGCTAGAATGAACATTATGTCAGCAAGAGCTTTGTTTACTTAGAATGAGCAGCAACCGACAGTTAAAGTGACAGGCTCAGCAGAAGTCAAAAAGGTAATGAATAAAATGGGTGTGGCTGAACAGGTGATATACATATACCAGTACGTACGTACGTACGGTAGGGTGGGTATTAATTGCGACACTTAATTTTAGCCTTTGAGTGTACTTAAAAACCACTAATTCAACCAGCCGCTAATAATAGTTATTATGTACTTGTGTAAACAAGTACACAAGATAGGCAAGATCTGTAGCAAGATAACAGTAAATAGGGTGATCCTTTTGAGTGTTCTGCTCTTAAATGTATAGATTGGGCTTCTTGAGTAGTGTTATGCTATTGAATAGGGGTTTTACCATTGATTTTCTTCCTATTTTCGCTAATATTACATTTCACTAAATCAGCGTCCCCTTAAAAATGCTAAAATTTAAGAGCGCAATTAATACCCACCCTAAGGTACATGTACATTAATCATTATTAATTGATGATAGAAACTCTGCGAGCTGATTCTTGATAAAACGAGTGATGGGATTTGGTCTTTAAAGACGCAAGAGAATGGCCTAAAGGTTCTCAGGATACTAGCACGAGAGAGCGGGGACACACCCCTCACACGAGAAGAGTCTTTGAGAAAAGTACTCAAACTTGCCGACGTGGTGGAACCCGAGAGCAGGTTCAAAAACCTAGAGGGTCTTAGCCAAGACGAAATAAACGGTAAGAAATATAAATACCTTATTTAAATTACTTTCTTTCTCCCTCATAGTTATTATCGAGGCCATTAAATGTTTGTGTAATTTATTTTTAAACCACAGAGATCTAGCGGGGAGGAGTACCGAAATAGGACTCCTCCCTCGACTGGCCGAGAGACTCCAACTGCATCACAAGAAGCAGCTGCCACGGGACGTAGTGTACTATGACCTCAGACTGTTGTTCTTAATATCTGCCTGTGACATTAACCAGAGGTACAGTAGGGAAGAGGAGGTAGACAGCTCTTAAGTAATGGACAGCTGGTCCAGTGGTATGTGTAATATGTGGTTTTAAGGAGAAATGAAGATAAGGAAATGGAGTATATATGTACATGTACATGTAGTAGATTAAGAGAGAGAGAGAGAAGGTTGGTATATTACGTAACATGAACTAGGTGGAAAGGACATGATGATTGAATGAGTTCAATATTTATATTAGGACTATTACTGATACTATTAATAGTAACATTATGATGATACTACGCATAGATGTATGTTTTATGATAATGTTTTATGAGATGTATGTGTTAACAGTTCCTGCATTAGTCTGATTACACTGTTTTGACTTCACTGTTCCAATTCTTTGCCAAATTTAAACAGGAGAGTGTACACAAACTTTATAACTTATGGTCTAATTAATTGAATTATTAATGACACCTCCCTTTAGTCATAAACGAACGTGAGACTTAATTAATTTCATTTTATAATTAATAGGACGATATTTAGGGACAGACACAATGGCGTCTCTCTCATTGTTAACGTTATTTCACAAACAATTGACCGACCAACTCAAGAAGAAACTTTAGACCCACTTGGAGAAGTAGGCGGAGTTAAGCTACCCTGTCCAGTTAGTGATCAAGACATGTACATGATTAGCGAGTGTTTAAAAATAGTTTTTAATCAAACGCTAAATTGGACACCTGATACTGAGGTGAGCCCTTCATTAGCAGCTGCACTATATTGTTATTATTACTGCACTAGCTTGAATTACCATATAATTATGGTTTATAGTAATAATACTAATAATAATAATAATAATAATAATAATAATAATAATAATAATAATAATAATAATAATAATAATAATAATAATAATAATAATAATAATAATAATAATAATAATAATAATAATATTAAGAATATGCAGACATGTATACATGTGTAAAGGAATGTGTGGAATTTAAATAACAATTACCAGCCTTGGTCTATCTGTCTCCAGTAGCATCTGCTTGCTAAATTCAAATGACGCATTAATTAGCGACATCATTCGTTGTTAAGGAAAAATTTTAAAATTACGTACAGTAGCAGAGTCAGACCACCAATGTACCTAAAATTAATAATTTAATAAAATACATGTACATGTATTTTTGGTTCATTTTATAGGAGGCAGCAGCTGCAATGAAGAGATTAGGATATTTAATTAGTATAATATTAGTGTCCATCCCGCCCCAATTGAGCTCACTTTCATTACAATTAATAACGTAAGATATTGACCACACCCATTTGTATTGACCACACCTCTTTTTTAGTCACGTTGCAGAGGTGATAATTAATATTCCTCAAGCTGCAGTCAGTTCGTTAATCTCGTTGCCATGCCAACTAAGAGCCACACCTATATTAATGACTGCTTATCCTAATCTTTATCCAAAAGNGTGCCGAAGGAGGCGTGGCTATGGAAGGAGGCATGGCTAGT